GGGGAAAAATAAAGAGAAAATAAAGAGAAAATAAAGACACAAAAATGGAACAAACATATGTCATCTTTGAATCAATCGGAGGGTAATACTTATTTAAGTTCTGATACAACATGCAAATCCGATGGTGGTGTTGATTTCTTCCATGACTTGCACACGCTGGAGTTCTAAAATAGTATAAAATGTTCTGGTGTTCTAAATCATGAATTGCACTTAAATGTTGAGTCTCTTGTCATGTTTTTGAGAAACATTGATCGTTCGATTCGACTGTAATGGAACACGCTTGGTGATAACGAAGCTTTCCACCTACGTGTTCCAATGTAAGATTCTAATATGATCAAATGCCAGACATAAGGTATTGGTACCAAGAATTTCCCTAACTCCATCTGATCTCAGGATACCCTTCAAGTTCCAACGAAGAAAATTTACTCTTATGTTTTCTTACGCAATGACAATCAACAAGAGTCAAGAGCAGTCATTATCCCATGTCGAACTTTACTTGAAAAGACCCGTGTTCAGTCATGGTCAATTATACGTTGATGTTTCTCGAGTCACTAATCCACATGGATTGAAGATATTAATATATGGGGACGATAATGGGGAAAAGAAAACTAATAAGTTTTCCACAATTTGTAATACCCTACAATATTGTACTTTACTATCTATTCAATAATAATGTTTTTTATTCGTCATTTACTTTTTATTATATATATATATTAATGTATTTATTAAAACATTTTAATAAATATGTTCCGTGCATCGCACGGGTGAAGATACTAGTAAACCATTAATGCCCACAGTTAAATATTACTTTCCCCAGAAATCAAAGATCAGGCTGATTAGCTTATTATATACCATCAGATAAACAAGTGATTGATTTTAAGGGTATGAATAGGAGCAGCAAAAGCAGCGACAACAGCGTCTGAAGCAGCTGGAGTGAAAATACCGAAAAGGGCCTCGTCGATTTGGGGCAGCCTGTGAAATCTCCATTGGAGGACTTTGCTGATAGCTTCGGGTGCGTAGGAAAGAGATGGCCGCCTGTGCCTGCGAGAAGCTAAGCTTAGAGTCGCACCAATTTTTTTTTAGTCACACTAAGTTGGAGATACGTTTTTTGCATCTAAAAAAAGTTTATTCTGTAAGGGCAGCTATCTTTTGATAATACAAGCTCAATTGTGGATTAAATCATAATTTTTATTTCATTAGCAATTAGTAATCAACCGTGTGATGCACGAAAAAATTATAATTTATGTATTTTTTGAAGGTAATTTTGTACATAGCCATAATAAAATCGAAAAGACATGGCTAATAATAATAATAATAATAATAATAATAATAATAATAATAATAATAATCACTACAATAACATTTGTTTAATTGGATATAAAATAAAAAAATGTTTTATGTACATATTATTATTACATAGCACTCATATTAAGTGAGACCCACCAACAATAAAAAATCAAGTGGACAACATTTCATATGTGTATTATGTACACCTATATGTACATTTATTATATATTTGTAGCATTTACCATAAAATATATCAAGTATTGGACTATGTTCCATAACACCGACACTAATTACAGAAACATTAGGCCATAAGTCTGGATTTTCAAGGTTTTCATTTCATTTTTCCTCTCTTCCATGATTAAATTCAACGACATAGTTGCTGATTGCATACACCTCGTATTCGTTCAGTACACCTCGAAATGCTCCCATATTTTTAGAACGTATTATGCCTTTAATGAATGCACCCTACAATATAAATTTATAAATATTAATTAAATTATTTTTTGAATTATATAAATTTTATATTACAAATGAAAATATTTACTTGTTCATCATGAAACAGTATATGGAATGCGTTCCAGCTCTCCCGTTGGTGATGCGTTTCAATTATTCAGACTGCTCTCAAGCGCAAAAAAGGTTTGTTTGTTCTAATCACGGAATCGAGTGTATCCCAAACTGGCAACATTATATTATCGATGTGTTTTGAAAATTATCTCTTTTTATTTTTTTCTCTAAACTCTGTGAATGACGTGAACAAATAATGGTGGTAATGAATATGATTTTATACAAATTTTTTTGTAGCACGTTTGTATTGACCGAAAAAAATGGAAAGATTGATGCACGTGAATTAAAAAAATCATATTTTAAACGCGTGAAAAGATGCGTGAGATAGTCCATGTTGCATCAATTCAAATTTTGAGTTATCTTATGTTCTTGAGTTCTCCACATATTCCAAGAATTTCTCATACTCCATTAACTAGTATGAGTCCCGTGCAGAGCACGGGTAAGAGATATTCACTAATATTTATAAATTAAAAATTCTTAGTACTATTTATAATTTAAAAATATGAAATAAATATGTAATACAATGACTTATTCTAATTTATGAAAAATGTTATATAACGTTTAAATTGTACAAAATTACATAAAAATGTCCATTTAAAATTAGTACACAACTCGTGTAGTGCACATAACAGATAATAAATCACATTATATTCGTTTCAAAATAAGTATTATTTCAAAAATTTTATTCAGAAATTCGATTTGACTATAATGTGATTACATAAAATAGTTATTTTGATAAAATTTTATCATATATTTAACAACCTATGTGAAGAATAAGTGTAGATATAAAATTTATATTATTTCATTACTTAAAATAACCTATTTTTGTATAAACTATTCAAATAAAAAAAATTAAGTAGTTGACCAATATATTAAACTATAAATAATTGACTATTTCGTTTACGTCCAAGTTAATATTGACCCGTAAGTTATTGAATAGTTTATTAAACTACAAATAATTGACTATTTCGTTTACGTTCAAAATAATATTGACCCGCAAATTATGAATAATTATTATTTAATTTTAAATAAAAATATTTTTATTTATTTTCAATATATTATATATACCAAATTTAAAACATGCAACTAATAAAGGTAATAGTCGCAAATTTTTTTTCAATATATTATATTCCAAATTCAAATCATACAACTAATAAAGTTAATAACCGCAACATTTTATCAAAATAATTATGGACATTAATTACATTAATTTAGGCGGAATTTTTCAAATTTTGGCAAAATATATTACTCAATATAGTAAATACTTTAGGGTTTTTTTTTTCTGATTTTTAGTTGTTATTTCAAAAAAATATCATTGTCTCTTCATATATTAATAGACATCATTGTCTCTAAATATATTACTACATAAGACAGTAGTTTTAGTTAAGTAGTTAGAAAATTGCGCACACATTTAAAATGCTTGGGATATGGACTACATTTATCAAATTTTGAAAAATTCAAACGAAACATGTATAATAGTTTTGATTTCACAAATCTCTACATGATAAGACATTTATTTCGATAATTATTAAATTATTCAATGCAAATTTATTTATCCACCAAAGATATTTAAGTTTTAAACGAAACATTTGATTTGAGTTCTATTCACCAAATTGCAGATTTATAAAAATTAACATTTAATATTTGTTTAAAAAAAATATTAACATTTATTTTTAATCACAAAAAATTATTTGTTTCACAAAATGTTTTATTTGAGTTTTAGACCAAACATGTATAATAATTAACATTTAATTAGAGGGAAAAAAGATATGCATTCCAAACTTTAAGGTGGATATGTTTCAATATTAACAAACCTAATTTGAAACATCTTAAAATTGATTTGTTCATGTAACTACCCAAAATTGCTAACAATAAGATGAAGAATAGGGGATAATGTCAAAATTTTCAAATTTCCAAAAAATTCAAATGATCCAGCAGCATGTGTCGAAATTTTCAAACAAAATTTACTATGTTTAGTTAGTTGTTTAGGCGGGATTTTCATCTTATTTTTTGCTTACTATTTTAGAATTATTTAGGTTCCCTCTTTATATAATAATAGATTTTTAAATTCAATTATGACTTTTTTATTCAACCTGTGAGTTATGTTATGTTCACGAGTTATCCACATATTCTAAGAATCTCTCATACTCCATTAATTTTTTAATTCAATTATGACTTTTTTTAATCTCGTATTTTATAAATGCTTTCAATCATTCTATATTTAGAATGTCAAAGGTTTTATTTTTTTGGTCAAAAGTTTCTAAAAATCATTTAAACAACAACCTTTTTATATATAGATAGATTTGATTGAGTACCTCTTTATTTTAGCTATTAAAGTCACCATCTTTCCCCTTTTTTTTTTTCATTAGCAATTTGATTGATTCACTTCACATTGGAAAAAAAATAAAATAAAATTGAGACATTTGAAAATCTAACTTGTAATATTAAGGGAAAAAATAAATAAAAGATGTCACGAGTTCGAGTCAACCAAATTTGTGTGGTACGCTTTCTAATTGTTTACAACATCTTGAATCGACTTTAGTCATTTCATAGTGTTCTAGTTTCCTTATACAAGACTCATCTATATATTCTTTTGCATATTTTTCTAAAATTCCTAGAATTTTTTCTTCTCATGTTTCACTGATTTTCTTCTGAATATATTTATTCATTTCATATTTAAGTTTACTTTCTACTATTTCTATTAGCTCTAACCGATCTTTAATTTTATAGAATTTTTCTCTTACTTGACAGAAAAAGATTTCTATGTAGCATATATTACATAATTTCATGTTTGTTAGAAATTTAATTATCTTATATTTTTGTGTTTCTTTTGATTCTTGTCCTGTAATTCCCAAAAATTCTCTTAGCAAATCCTTTGCTTATTCTTTTAAGGCTTCTATTTTATATTCTTCCCCTGTTTCTGAACCGTTAGCCTCACGATTTACTATAACTCGAGTATTTTTTAGATAGTCAAATAACATTCAAGATGTTTTGTATTTTATATAATTGGAAAAATCTTCAGGTGTCATTCCACTTATCAATTGAATCATTAGTTTGAATTAATAATTTTTTAATTGATTAGTCCAAGTGATTCTTAAATCTTCTGCATTGGTTGCACAATCTATATTAAATATTTCATTAGATATATTTCTTTCTTTTTCTAAATATGCTGGTGGTATATTTTTCTTTATTTTTTCTTGATGATAACTATAATAATTTTTGTATACAATGTCTTAAAAATTACTTCTACATAATTATTTTATGAACTAAATGCTTTATAAGTATTTGTTATAGGCCGTTTTGGTGTATAAGGTTTTTGATATGCCATATTAAATGTGGTTCATCTTCATTTTCACTATCTATTCCATAAATTATTCTTTATTTATCTTCATCATCTATTTTTGTCATTCTAGTTTCTTCGATATTATATTTTTCTAGTAGCTGGGTCAATCTATTTATATCATCCATTGAAACTTGTTGACGGTTCTATTTGAATTGATTTAAACAATTTTTTCCATGATTTTTATAATAAATCTTGTAATTTATTTATTGATTCTTTTAATTTTTCTAATTTTTTTAATGTTTCTAATTAAATTTTCTTTATTATTTCTATGAATATTTTTATTTGTTATGAGACTCTTGATGAAACACTGATAAAATTTTTGTACTTTTAAAATTTTTCTTTAGTTATTTGCTTTTTGTTAATTTTAATTAATAGTATTTCTTAATAAATATTCATATGATATTTCCTTATAGCAAGTAGGGTGTGGAAATAGCAAGAAAATTTTCCACATGGCATTCAATTATTGGTTGATACATGAAATGGCCGCCACCCGCGTGGGTGGCGTCGATTAAAACCTGGTGGCTCCTTTGGCCACCAAATATTGACTTTTCCACATGGCATCCTTTGACTCTTCTTCTTCTTCTTTGCTGTACGTCCAATTATGACATTATACAAATGAGGCCTGCATGTTGGAATTTTTTACGAAAAAAAATTAAAAAGTGAAGTGGTGAAAAAAAAAAAACAGGAAAGAGGGAGTGTTAGATGTAAGAATTTAACGGGTATATTCATATACTGTTAAGCGGAATTGAATAAGCCCTAAGCATGTAATTCTATTAATTCATAGAACATGGATCTATAAACATCACATTGGACTCTTTAATATTAGAACATTAAATAATCTATTAAATACATATTCATCTTTAATAAAGTTTGACTATTAATTCAATTAGGTCCAACTAATTATATGGTCCACAATAATAGAATAATATATAAAATATTATTACATTAGAATGAAATGAAAATGCCGTATTATACGATTTTCCAAAAATTTATTTGAAAAACGTATTCCGTGAATACGCTTTTCTTTGTAAAACGTATTTCTTAAATACGTTTTATAGTTAAATTGTAAAGAAAACGTATTTACTGAATACGTGCTTTTAATTTTGGTCCACTCCTTTTTTTTTTTTTCTTTTTTGTCCACTTATTATTTTTTTATATATAAATATATAAATTGCCCCTGCATGTTGTAATATAAATTTCCTCTCTGTGGCTATATATGCCTACAATATGAATCAACTCAATCACCTGAAAAAAAAAAAAAAAAATGGAGAATAATTATATTTTCTTCATCTTCTCTACTCTGCTAGTAATAATTGTAATACTAAGCAGCACCATTAACAGTATAACTTCCTTAGCCGCCACCACAACTGACAAAAACGCACTTGTCCAATTCAAAACTTCCACTTGTGACCCTTACCATCTGTTGGCCACAAACTGGTCGATCGATACCTCTTCTTCTTCCGTTTGTCAATGGATTGGTGTTTCGTGCGGCACCAAACACAATAACAGAGTCACGGGACTTAACATTTCTCGTTTTGGCCTCGGAGGAGCTCTGTCCCCACATCTTGGGAACTTGACGTTTTTAAGACACTTAGATATCAGTAATAATAATTTCACAGGGCCCATACCTCGTGAGTTGTCTCGTCTACGCCGCCTGAGGTCTATAGATATGGGATTCAACTCGTTCGCCGGACAAATACCAACCTGGTTTGGAGCGTTTCCTCAACTCGAGATAATGCGTCTGAACAACAACACGTTCACAGGTAGAAATCCTTGAAGACATTGGCAATTGTTCCTCCCACCAAATATTAGATACTGTAACACATTATTAACCAAAATTAAACTTTTATCCTCATCACATTACTTAGCACCACCAGATATAAATGACGTATATTTCTATGGGATCCTTTTTGTAGAAGGATTATCTCCCGTATTTTTTATCTCCTTTATTTCGAACTGTATCGTTGATCAGTTGATCGCTTGAATTGAAGTTTATTTGCAAAAAAAAAAAAAATTAAGAAAATGTTTCCAACAAAAAAAAAACCTGAGTTGGATTTCACTAATCAATGCAACACAATTGTTTTAAGAATAATGTAGTGGTTTTCTTATATTTGATTAATGCAGTTTCACAATAATTTTTCAGGGTCAATACCTCAGGAGTTGTCCCTCTTGCAAGGCCTGAGGATTATAGATATGGAAGCCAATTCATTGACCGGACAAATTCCGGTGTGGGTTCGAGCTTTACCGCAGCTTGAGCAGCTGAACCTTAGAAACAACAAGCTCAGGGGAAGAATTCCGGAGGAGATGGGCAATTGTTCTTCCCTGCAAATACTATATCTGTCGTACAACCAGTTGACTGGCTCCATTCCATACGTTATCTTCAATTTGTCATCCATTAGAGAGATTCGGGCTTCGTACAATTACCTCTCGGGTACGCTTCCAAGTGATATGTGCAACAATCTACCGAGCCTGACTTTTCTTGCGGTGTCGAGCAATCAATTGGAGGGCAGCATTCCACCAAATATAGGCAACTGCACAAATCTTGAGAGCCTTTCGTTATCCATCAACCGCTTCAGTGGGGAAATCCCAAGCGAAATTGCAAGTTTGAGCATGCTTATGGTGTTGTATCTGGGGGATAACGAGTTTACAGGTATATAAAGTATAAACGCATATCATCTAATCATCACATTAATTAGATTCCACCAAACATATATAAGTGCACAAAGCTTGAGATCTTGGGATTATCTATCAACAGTTTAAATGGGGAAATCCCAAGTGAAATTGCATGTTCGAGCATGCTCAGGAACTTGGGATTTTTTTATTTTTTTTTGTAAGAGAAAAGACTATTTTCTTCAGTTTTTTTAATTACAGTATATAACACTATTTTGTAAAATTATTGAACTTCTATACCAATTTTTCTTTTACAAGCTTTACAAAAATAAATAAAAATAAATGTTTTTTTAATCTGTGGTTGTTATATTTGAGATTTGGTTCTTTTGATGTTCTTCTTGTTGTTATATGTGATATTATCGCTTTGCTTAATCATATAATTTTCACAGATGTAATAGTTTTCACTCAAAATAAATATAAGGTGTATCACTATATTAACAATTGTCATACAAACTTCAAAGAGTTCAATTTCTTTTTTTTTTTTTTTTCCTAAAGTTTTGTAATTACATTAAATAACACTATTTGGGACAATTAGATTTTGTTCATTTTGCAAATAGAGCTGGAAGAGTCATTGTTGACAATTCTCCTGACATAATGCTAATAATGGACTGGCTCAATTAAATTAGTGCTTCTTCTATTAGTAAAGTTTTTAGAAAAAATATATCAAATGACGCAATGTACCTTGGGTCGCTATGGAAACAACCTCCTTGTATAATTACAAGGGTAAGGTCTGCGTACAACTGACTCCCAGACCCCAACCGTTTGGGAATATACTGGGTATGTTGATGTTGATGTATTTGGGACAATTAGATCATGCACCAGATTACTTATCAAAATATTTACTTTTATTTACTTTTACTTATCATCAATTTCTACTATTTAGATTTCTCAGGTACACTTTTTTCGATTTTATCATAATTTTGTTTAAATAATTCACAGGATCAATACCAAAGCAACTTGGAAATTGTACTTCCTTGAAGGAAATAGACCTTCCTCAGAACAATTTGACAGGTATGAGCTATTTTTGTTTGGTTTCATGCTAATTCACCATTTCTTTAGCAAATGACAGAATAATTATACCCTACCGTCTTCTGACTCTATATGTTCGCAACATGACCATTTACCAATTTATGGTTTCAGCATTCACTAAATTTGACTTAACAATGATGCAGTCTTAATTAATTATGATAAATTGCAATTTTCATCCCATTTTACAAAATTAGGAAATAAATAGTGCAGTGCACGTGAAGGATTATATATTCTTATAGTAGAATGATAAAAAATTAAATATACAACAAATAACTAAAGAATAATAAAAATAATTATTTAAAATAATACTCTAGTTTTATACTCATGTTGTTCAAATGATAATTTTCTTAACCACACACACATCTCTCTCTCTCTCTCTCTCTCTCTCTCTCTCTCTCTCTCTCTCTCTCTCTCTCTCTCTCTCTCTCTCTCTATACACACACACACACACATATATATATATACAACTCAATAATTTTTTTTTTTCAAGTTTGACTATATTGTAATTATCCAATATACAATTTTCCTCCATGATTTTATATTTTTTTTAATATCTTCACCTTAAACAATTTAAAACATAATCTATATGAGTGTAATATTTTAAACTTTATGGAATAAAATAATTATTTATGTAAACTTACTTACAATTTTTATGAAATGTTTTTTCGCGATCATAATTTTTCTGTGTATTTTTTATTTAAGCTGAGGTATAAACTTTTAGAATTCTTATATATAATAATTTGATGTTCCTACTTAGGTTATTTATTTTTTTATATATAAAATAGTTATATCATAGTATGTTAATACAAATAAATTTTTATTGCTTTATAAGATAAAATTTAATTTTATTTGATATATTTTAATCTAGTTTGAGAAATAATATTAAATTTTATTTATAAGACTATATATCATTGTTTTATATTTTGTATTCATAATATGTATGTCCAATCGAAAATCGTTAAAATATAAATAATTTGATATATCATATATGAAAATAAAATACAAACCAAAAAAGTTATAAATTTTTTAAAATAAGAAGAATAAATATATATAATAATTGATGTATGAAGTAAATAAGAAAATGAAATTCAATATATGGTAATGTAGGAAAAGGAAACTTAAAATAGTTTGTGGTAAGTAATCATAGAATAAAAGAAGGAAAAGATCAATTAGAATTTAATATGAATGATATAGACATCAAATTAATCCAAACCTACTTATTTTGAATAAAAAAAAATATTAATTTATATCCAAGCCTAACTCCAAACCACAATTTTTTTACCACATAAGATTACAAAGCGTGAGAGCATTTTGGTCTTTTTGGCGGGTGATAAATAGTAATAATGGGGCGGTGTTTAGTAATTCAAACCAAAAGAGCCGAATAAGTTGGCATTCCTTGAGATATTCAACGTGGAAATCAGTCAATTGTCTGGATCAATCCCACCATATGGATCTTCAACATATCAACTTTGAAGATTTTACCTCTTTCATTTACAATTAGATTAGATGAGGCACACCAGTGTACTTGTCAAAATATTTACTTTTATTTTTCAATATAAGAGAATAGATTAAGACGATTTTTATAAAGTTGAGGCAACTAAATAAAAGATTAAATGCTTTTAGAAATTGGAGGATGCATGCAAATCATAATTTACATATTCGGTCGGCCAATTACTGATTATCCCCATTGGTGATTTTTTTTTTTTTTTTGGGTTCAATTTTATCATAATTTTGTTTAAATAATTCACAGGATCAATACCCAAGCAACTTGGAAATTGTACTTCTTTGAAGAGAATAAACCTTTCTTACAACCATTTGAAAGGTATGAGCTATTTTTGTTTAGTTTCATGCTAATTCATTATTTCTTTAGCAAATGACAAAATAATTATACACTACCGTTTTCAGACTCTATATGTTATCAACATAACAATTTACCTATTTATGGTTTTAGTAATCACTAAAATTTGATTTAACAATAAGATAAGTTGCAATTTTCATCCCATTTTACAAAATCAGGAAATGACGAGTGCGCTGCAGAGGAATATATATTTCTTTTGGTCATTAATTCTTTTCTTTTTTTAATTATAAAAAAATTATTATTTTATCAAACATGCTTCATGAAGGAATAGTAATTCAAAATAATTATGATTGTGTTGTACTATAACAGGTAATTTACCTGAAGAGCTGAATAAGTTGGCATTCCTTGAGATATTCGCCGTGGACAGCAATCAGTTGTCTGGATCAATTCCACCGTGGATCTTCAACATATCAACTTTGAAGATTTTAGGTCTTTCAGCTAATCGTTTCTCTGGAATTCTTCCCCTCTCGCCCAAGCTCTCTCATCCAAATCTCGAAAAATTGTTATTGTGGGGCAATGAACTCAATGGGGAGATTCCAATTTCGATCACCAATGCTTCTAATTTAAATATATTGGAATTGTCGAATAACTCATTCAGTGGCACCATACCTTACTTGGGCAGCTTGAGGCTCTTATGGTTACTTCGCATTTGGGATAATTCTCTGAGTGGATTAGGATTTATCTCTTCATTAGCTAATTGCCAGTTTTAGATATTTCGCGCAACCCACTTAACGGCGTCCTTCCTGATTCCATTGGGAATTTGTCAAAATCTCTTACAATGTTCCTGGCACATGGCTGCAACATTAATGGAGTTATTCCTTCTACCATCGGAAACCTGATTGGTCTGCAACGTATAAACTTATCAAAAAATCAAATCAGAGGAGTTATACCTCCAACATTAGGGAAATTAAATCGGCTTCAAAGATTACTTCTTGATGCCAATCAACTCCATGGATTAATCCCTACGGATATTTGTGGACTGACTAATATTGGCGACTTGAACCTGAACGACAATAATCTCACAGGTCCCATACCTGAATGCTTCGGTGAGCTTAAATCCCTAAGAGAGATCTACTTACAGTCCAACAAGTTGAATTCCAGCATACCTCTCAGCTTCTGGAACTTGAAGGACCTTTTGTTTCTCAACTTGTCCTCAAACAGTTTGAGTGGTCACCTTTCATATGAAATTGCAGGTTTGAGACAACTAAATAAACTAGATTTGTCTCATAATCAACTTTCCGGAGACATTCCAAGATCAATCGATGGTTGCGAATCATTAACATCTCTAAATTTGTCGGATAACAAATTTGAAAGATCCATTCATCCATCACTGGGGAATATCAGAGCCTTGAGGGAATTGGATTTATCTAACAATAATCTTTCGGGGCTGATCCCAGAGTCCTTAGAAGGCCTCAAATTCCTTCACTACTTCAATGTGTCTTACAACAAATTGGAAGGAATGATTCCCACCGGTGGCCCTTTTGTTAACATTACTGCTCAATCTTTTCTTCACAACTTTGCTCTTTGTAGAGATCAAAGATTTCAAGTGCCCCAATGCATTGGGAACAATCTCAAGAAGAATTCTAGACTGAAGAAAGTTGAACGGCTGACGAAGTATATTGTGACTCCATTCATTTCAGTTATCATTTTAACAACCATTATAGTACTTGTGTTCGTGAGAACACGAAAACCAAAAAGAGGACTTGCTCCCACTGATGATGTTTCGCTTGGTGTTACTTGGAGAAGAATCTCATACATAGAACTTGTTAGGGGAACTGACAACTTCAGCGAAACAAACTTACTTGGAAATGGAAGCTTTGGTTCGGTTTTCAAAGGGGTGCTTTCTGATGGACTAAATGTTGCAGTGAAAGTATTCAACTCGCAATTAGAAAGAGCTATCCGCAGTTTTGATACGGAATGTGAAATACTTAGCAGCATTCGACACAGAAACTTGGTCCAAATAATTGGTTGTTGTAGCAACACAAAATTCAAAGCATTGGTTCTTGGGTTCATGCCAAATGGAAGCCTAGAGAAATGGCTGCACTTGGAAAATTGTGTCTTGGATTTGATACCAAGGCTGCAAATTGCAATAGATGTTGCATTAGCCTTGGAATATCTCCACCATGGCCACACATTCCCAGTTGTTCATTGTGATATAAAGCCGAGTAATGTGTTGCTTGATGAGAATATGGTTGCCCACCTTTGTGATTTTGGTATAGCCAAGCTCTTTGACGATGGGCAGAATATTTTTCTCACGAGAACATTGGGGACAATTGGTTACGCCGCACCAGGTAACATTCTTAATATATAATATCTTAATTCCTTAGTTATTATCTTTCTTTTCATTTCTTTATTCCTATTTTTCTGTTTCATTCTATAGTATTTTACATAATGGGTCAAATTGAAAAATCTAAACTAATCCAACGATAATGTTGTGCTTGTGATACACTTAGAGTATGGATCAGGAGGCAGAGTGTCAACAAGTGCAGACGTTTATAGCTATGGCATACTGTTGCTGGAAATGTTCACGAGCAAGAAGCCAACTGATGATATTTTCAATGAACAGATGAGCTTGGAGGAGTGGGTATATGAAGCAATACGAGAAAATACAGTTGCAAAACTTGTGGGCCTTAATTTGCTAGCAAGTGACGATCTGCATTTTCATGCAAAGGAAGAATGTGTCTCGTCTATCTTTGGCTTGGCAATGAGATGTCTAGCTGTTATGCCCGATGAAAGGATTAGCATGATCGAAACAACAGCTACATTGCAGAGGACTAAAGCCAAAGTTGTGGCTGACACTACAAGTCGTCAACAATATGCATTGTCCATTATTTCAAGACAATAGGTATTGACATGTAATAGGGCATGGTTTCCAGTACTACTATATTACAGTGTGAAATAAAGACAGGTGGCATATATGAACAAAACTATAACTAAGTCATCTTCATCTTTCCTAAGCATGCAGGTTTTCCACTGGGATCATTTTTCATATTCATATTCCACATATATATAACACATTTTCATACCAAAACCTAAATTTAAGTACAGCCCAGAGTAGTACCTTGGGAAAAAATGGCCCTCTTCAGAGTTCAGAGTGATGTTCCCGGCAGGCCCGCCAGCTAGGAAGCGTCGTGGGCCAATCCCCCTGGTCTCATCGAACTTGGACTGGGTCCGGAGCTTGGGCCCAGTCCAAATCAGGACCTAAGCAGTGTTTACAAGCAGGACAAACATAAGCATAAGAGACCAGAAATTTGGATGAAGTAAAGATACCAACTACATAAGATAGAACTTGACTAGTGTAACCAACAGTAACATAAAATGTCTCTATCAAAGAAATTAGTTCCTACTGGAACACTATCCATTTGCAACATAGAGGGTACAAGCAACAACTGAGAATTTCAGTAAATCAGAAAAGATTAGCAATCATAGGTTAAAGTAAATATTCATATGTGTTTGTTTGTTAAGATGCAATTCCTGGTTAACGAACCAAAAGATTTTATTCACCAATCTGTTGTCCTTTCAAGATGTATTCAAAGAACGAATGCTGAGGTATAGTTGCAGTGTATGTGCATCTAACTCTATCAAATAAGCATCATATTTTGCCACAGAGATGACATAAAAGATACCACATATTGGAACTGAGTTAAGGTCATATCTAAGAACCTAACCCGCAATCATAAAAACGACAACAGGAGAGAAAGTCTTCCCATCATGAGTACCCAAAACTATTATCCAGGCCTCAGAGTAAAACACACTCATTCACTACATAGACCATAAATGAAAAAAAAAAACACACACACACACACAAAGTTAATTATTACTTTCCCCAGAA